AATCTTTGTTTTCTTGATATTGAACTTCAATCCATATTGAAGACTGCAGTCCTTGACCTTCTGCAGCAAGCGCTTCAGGTCCTCCTCAGTTTCAGCAAGCAGGGTTGTGTCATCTGCATAATGGAGTTTGTTGGTTAATCTTCCTCCAATCTTGATGCCACATTCCTCCTCATACAGCCCAGAGTCCCAGATGATCTGTTCTTCATATAGATTGAATAGGTATGAAGACAGAATACATTCCTAGAAGAAACCCTTCCTGATTTTGAATCATGCAGCATCTCCTTCCTCTGTTCTGAAGACTGTCTCTTGGTTCAGGTATAGGTTTCACATAAGCACAATCAAAGATTATGGGATTCCTATTCTTCTCAGAGCCAGCCACAGTTTTTGCGATCCACACAGTCAAAAGCCTTTGCAAGGTCAATGAAACACAGATAGGATATACCATGGACTGCTAGGATAACAAACAGGTTCATTCTAGAGAGGGTAAAGCCAGCCTATTTCCTGGAGGCAAGGAGTCTGAGGCTTTGTCTTACATACTTTTGGCATGATGCAAGACAGGACCAGTCCTTAGAGAGGGACATCATGCTTGGAAGGATGGAGGGACAGAGAGAGGAAGATGATTGATAAAATGGATTGATTAAGTAACTGGGGTTATGAGGTGTGTCAGAGACAGTAAATTGGCACAGGATCAAGCAGGTTTCAGGGCTTTGTACATAGGGTTGTTATAAGTCGCAGTGACTCAACAGCACATAACAACAACAACAGTAACAGATTGCTGAGACACATCCAGCAAAATCTTGACAAAATGAAAACCAGAAACATGTAAATCTATAGTCATATAAAAAGCCCCACAACAAGCCATTTTAAAAAAAGGAAATTATACTACTGGGAATATATCCAAAAGAGACCATAACTGACACCTAAGCAAATATATGCACACCCATGTTCATCGTGGCTTTGTTCACAATAGCAAGGAGTTGGACCATCAACAAACGAATGGATAGAGAAGCTGTTGTATATTCACACAATGGAATACTATACTGCATTGAAAAACAAGGGACTCATGCAATATTATTCAAAATGGGTGTCCCTGGAGGACATTATGCTGAGTGAAATATCTCAGTCGCAAAAGGACAAATACTGCATGGTGCCACTGCTATAAAATGGGACTGACATCAGGGTTGGGGTAAGACTGAGAAAAACTGGATAAATTGTGTATACTGCACTGAAACAGATGAGGCAGACAATAATTTAAAAGCGATGTATGATAGGGTATTATGGTTATCACAAGAGTCCACAATTAAGGTTGCATAGTGGAAT